TTTACCATCATCTCATTCCTTTTCTTCTCCCCCACCACTGTGTCCTTGTGTTTTGTCTGACCAGCGGTCCAGGAGGAGCGCCAGAGGAACCGCGAGCGAGAAGGAGAGCTGGAGTTCAGTATGGGCGTGAATGAGGAGATGCCCGTGGAGAAGATTCTAGAGGCAGAGACCGCTGTGGAGAAGAAGACGGAGCTTCACTCTGACGATGGCTCCGCTGGCAACTCTGTGAGTGGTTCAAACATCGCAATCAAAAGGAAGTTACTTTGCCATTCATCAGTGTTTGGCAGAAGCATGATGGGTTTGGCCTAATGTTTTTAGAATAGCCTAAACAAAAACATGCTATAAGTACAGGCTTACTGTAATTGTTGGAAGTATTTGGTTTGAATGAAGAAGATGTGATTTATTGTTTGGTTTCAGCCCCATGATGCAGTTACCAACATCTGCCAGACTGCAGACAAACAGCTGTTTGCTTTGGTGGAGTGGGCGAAGAGAATCCCTCACTTCTCTGAGCTGCCCCTCGACGACCAGGTCATCCTCCTGCGTGCAGGTACGACTGAGAGCTGCACCTTTTAACGGAGATCAGATGCACATTATTAGTCTTTCTTCAAGTGTATCAGATGTATATGCAATACTCCAAAGTACACTTCTAAGAGAGGCTAAGGACACATTTTTAGTGTAACGCAATGTCAGACATATACACTGCCATCTTTGTCTCTTATCTGCACTGGTGTGAACTCTTGCCTGTCCTGGTGTCTGTTGCTGACACGTGCATTTCCCTATGTGGGATTATAGAAGGGTTTATCTTATCTTAGGGCTAAAGAGAGTGCTTTGTTGATTTCCTTTTACTGGAGTACACTAGTTTTATTGAATAAATATAACTATATAAAGTTTAATTATTACGTACCTCATGCAGTATTTTAATTCTAGTCGAAGCCTGAAGGATCACTTTTAGCTGCCCTTAACTTTGTCTGATGTTGGTATTTGTGCATGCATAGAGTTAATGAAAAGATAAAGACTATATGTGACCTGCTCTATCGACATCAGTCGCATTGACCCGAAGACACATTTTGAGTTGTATACACTGCTGGAAAGAGGAGATTCCTAGCTTTCTAATGATATCAGGATTGTTGTTGTTCTCCAAATATTAAGCGAAATATGTCACATTATATAATGACTGTCATCGTTTTGAGAAAAAGGCCTTCAAAGTTTCCTCTTCTCTGGAATCCATCGATCTGATTGGTTATTAGCAAATTATCAAAATACTACGGAGGGAAGATATTTTCGTTTGGATTACTGGTCTGGGGGAAGCTCGCGAGTGTGTGTGTGTATATACGTGTGTGTATACGTGTGTGTGTTTGTGTAATTTTGCGTTTGTGTGTATTGTGTTTGTTTCCCGGGGAAAACCCTCAGGAGAAACACCGGCTGTTGTTGTGCCTGCTGTGACGTTAAGTTACTCCGTTCTCCGCTTGTAATTATGCCGAAGTTTCAAAGTTGTATTTATCATCTGAATTTGCCGAAACAAGTTTAATATTCTGAAATCCAAGACTTTGTTTATTTGAAACCAGATGAAAACAAACTGTAACGGACCCTGCCGTGTTATCTATGATTACTATACGCTTACATTCATAATGTCAGCGGAGGGAGGGGGGCGGCGCTGCGGAAGAGCAGATTGCGAGTGAGAGGTGCCTGTCTTCGTCCCTTTTTAAAGCTTCAAACATGTATTTATCGTGTGATTTTGGAAATAAAAGTTTCATATTCTGAAAGCCAAGACTTTGTTTGTTTAAAATCAAACAAAACACCCGAACCCCGAAAATTGTTTTTTACGCAAATCCACGTTTATTTTGAAATGAGCCGTTGAGACTTCCGACTGATTTCGATAGAGCGGGTCACATATTGGTAATTAATGCAGTAAAATACATTTGAAGTTGGCAGCAGGGTTTTTTTGACAAAATATATTGTCCTGTTGAATTTGAACTGTGTACAAAAAGTGCTGCAGTGAACCTTAGTTCTAGGGTATCTACCCTTGTACAGTGTCCCTGAATGTGAAGACACTTTGTTGTAGTCACTGTTGATGTTTATTTGGTGTTGACCTTAGGGGGTTTAACTATCAATAATAACTTTAGACTGCAGGAGGGTCAATGTAGGTCAGGGACCTTCTGATGTGTCCGCACACAGGGGATAAAGTGATGGCTCTTACGGCCCGTCCACACGGCGGCGTGCGTTGAAGCTTCAACGCTTCTGCCCATTCACTTTGAATGGGGTGACGTCACGCTTTGCCGAACTGCATTGTGGTCTCTTTGCTCGCTTCAAAAGTTGAGCAATGTTCTTCGACAGAAGCGTCAGCCAATCAAACCACGTGCTTGTGTGTCCGGGGCAGAAGATTCATGTGATTGGTTGTTGGTCGAGTTTCAGACACGCCCACCGGCAAGCTTCAATGCACGCCGCCGTGTGGACGCTGCGTTAGTCCTCGAGACCAGTTTCCTAATGAGCCCCTCCCTTTGTGCGTTGCCAGGGTGGAATGAGCTCCTTATCGCCTCGTTCTCCCACCGCTCCATCGGTCTGAAGGACGGAGTTCTCCTGGCCTCTGAGCTGCAGCGGGACAGTGCACACAGCGCGGGAGTGGGGGCCATTTTTGACAGGTGCAAATATGGAGACAGAAAACAGCCAACACACTGTTATGCCTTTTTGTTTAATGTTGCACATGTTTGTATTGTCTAAATAACTGTTTTCATTTAACACAGGGAGAGTGTGCAGAGTGCAGAGGTCGGCGCCATATTTGACAGGTAATTTGACATTATTTTAGTGCTTGACTAATAAAGTAATGGTAATGATTGCTCTTTGTATTTGACACTCTGGCTTTCCAAAAAGCATTTCATCAAATCAATGTTATTACTTAGGGTTCTCACGGAGCTCGTCAATAAAATGAGAGATATGCAAATGGACAAAACAGAGCTGGGCTGCCTCCGAGCCATCGTCCTCTTCAACCCAGGTGCCTGACCAATGCTCATATCTAAATAAGAAACATTAACATACTTTTCTTACTATATGCGATGTCTCGTGGCACTGATGGACATCTTCTCCGTTTGCTTGCAGATGCTAAAGGGCTCTCCAACACCGGGGAGGTGGAGCTCCTTAGAGAAAAGGTCTATGCATCATTGGAGTCCTATTGCAAACAGAAATACCCCGAGCAGCAGGGAAGGTAAACGTCTCCAGCGACCTCAAACTCTGTAGAAAGTCAAACCTGATTGGTGCCTTGGTGTTCTGCTCAAACGTAATGATTGCTCCTCTGCCCTGGCAGGTTTGCGAAGCTCCTCCTGCGACTGCCAGCACTGCGATCTATCGGCTTGAAGTGTTTGGAGCATCTCTTCTTCTTCAAGCTGATCGGTGACACGCCTATTGACACTTTCCTAATGGAAATGCTTGAAGCTCCCCATCAGTTGTCTTAGATAGGATATGCGTACTGTGGTTGGGTTTAGAAAGCTGGAGTGGGACTGGAGTGGCACTTTAAGTTATTTGAAGATTTGTCAATTTGTCTCACTGCTGTCTGCGTTACACTATTTCAGTGCAGCACAGATTTGCTCTTTAGACCAAACCAAAGGCTTGGCATGATCTACAAGCTGGTGCTAAATGTTGAAATAACTTCATGAGTAACTATGGTTTGAAAAAAACAAAAAAAAAGTATTTTTAAAAATGTAAACATTTACATATTTTCCTCACAGGAGCTATCATTTGGGTAAACATTTTTATATAAGCTTTTTAGACACCTCCAACACCAAGGTTCAGTTAATTCTCCAACTGAACTGAGCACCAAACCTATTTTTTAAAAGGAAGGCAACCTGAATCATGTGTATGCGTTAAGGATGTATTCTTCTTTTTATCATTTGTAATTGAAGCCAGCTCTAAAACATGATGTATTGTACCGAACCAGGTGCTGTGTCCAACAACAGCTCTAAGTTGACTTGTATCATTGCAGAAGATACAATCCTGACAGTAACCCTGCGATAGAAGACAGGTCAGTGTTTGACTTGTCTGTGTTGAGGAACAGCTTTATGTGTCTGGTAATATACAGTTAGTGTCGTTTACTTTGCCATTTTCTAAATCTAATCACGTGGTGGTTAACGATTAAACTGCACTGCACACTTGCTATGTACTATTTCTAAAACACACTTAAAAAACGCCTTGCCTCTGAATAGTCGGGCGTTTGTCTTTTGGTGCTATTTCAGTAATAATTTGACAATATCGGTGCAGGTGCACGCCAAACCACAAACCTAAGAAAATATGCAAAACTAAACAGATCCCTTTGTTAATCCTTGTTCAAATGTAGCAATATAAAATGTTAACTGCATAAGAGCTTTCTGCCTGTCAGTCATTCAGGGGTTTTACTAAGTAAATCATGTCTGGTGGAAAGGGAATACTCCATTTTGTAATTTATCTATACAATTCAAAGGTACTGTGCAAAAGTAATTGTTCAGGGAAAAATGTATATTGATACATTTGAATTATGATCAGGATATACAAATTATATAATTTTTAATGTGCCCTTGTTTTTAGTTTTCAGCTAGTATAAAGCAGAGCATGTCTTGGGTTGCACTGGATTTGCTGAGACTGTTTCAGCTGATTTTTATTTTTTGTGCTTTTTATTTTGATGCTCAATTGTATTTTCCAACCCCACCCCCCCCCCCCCCCCCCCCCCTTTTGTAGGTAGCTGTCTTGTTCATTGTTATATGTCTGCAATTTATTAAAAGCAAACCATAATCACATTTAAGACCAAATGAGGTCTGTATGCCGCCATGTGTAAACCCCAGATGAGCTGTATTGGAAGTTTGTCGGCGACCTCTATCTGCTCTCAAACATAAAGTGACTTGAAGCATGGGTTGTGTGGACTGAAAATAAAGAGGTGTAAGTTTTTTTTTTTGGTGCTTTTTCTTCCCCAAAACTTTTACATGTGACACTTTTTTGAAAACACAATTGAAAGATATAGTAAAAAAAGAAAGTCAAACAACGTTTTAATGAGCCTTTTTATTGACTTTGTTACATAGTTTTTGCTGTGGGCAAAGACGTGATGGAAGCCTTGGTTGTATAGCACTTGTTTCCAAGTTCCACAGTGATGTCATGGCACAGGCAGCAACATGTGTGGTGGGCTAATGTTCAATTACAAAGAAGAAATGTTGAGTGCAATGAAATCAAAGGCTTCTTTCCACAGGACTAGCTGGTGAGTTTCACAATGTGTGTAAAGTAAAATATGTATTAACACAAACCCTACCACAGAGAACCAACTTTCGTATTGAGCAGAAGTGAAACCTTTTTTTTTTTTTTTTAAACCATGCATGGCTTGGTTTGCTTAAATTATATTTAGAATAATACTGCTTTTAGTCTATAATACACTATTCTACACATGGAGCCAAAACAACAGAACTCAAAGACATTGTCATGTACATCACTTTACAGCATTCCCCCTATAATACCTTACACATCTATTCTGTCTGGTTTTTGACAGAAATCAGTACAATCTGGGAACCCCCCCCCCCCCCCATAACTTCAGTTCCACTAAGTTGCATGCTACACAGTGGGCCTAAGGTGCTGATTAGTTTTCAGTTAATTCAAAACAAGAACATGAACTGTTGGGTGGGTTTCACATAGCTTCATTACGATGTTGCACTAGATGTGTTTCTTTCTCAATGGCTATGTTTCCGTCACAGTGGATAGATTATCATTGCTATGACATGAAGTGAAATGGTGCAAGTTATTAATTTAGCCAAGGCCATTGCAAATAGATTAATAGCACAATGACACAATCAAAGTTAAACTGCGGGCTCCTTTTTTACTTTAATACAGATGTAAATAACAATAGATACATAATTGAGATTTTGTGTGCGTCCGTATTGCTAATTACCCCCTGATGTTCACATTCATAGTTAGATAATGAATGTCCTGTGAACGACAAACTGAGATCTCCAGTGAAGCCAGCTGAACTACACATTAAATTGGCCTGGTCTATTTTTAATAACTTTATTTAGATCTTGACTAGAGTGGAGCAATGCACAATAAGGCAACAGGATACGGCTAATGTGCATGACCAATCCTAAAATGTCATAAATACTTTAAAGCTATCTTCATTACATACTATTGGGTCCAGGACAGGATTAAAAACACTGGTTAAAAATAAATCACAGCTCGTGAAAGATGTACATTGCAGTATTATCCCCTCGTCCCTCACAGACTGCACATCTGTAGTAACATTTTCTTGATTAAATGTCCCTGAAAACATTTGAATAAATAACTGTCTCTGAAAGGCACTCTGAGATGTGCAGCTCATAGTTTCTAGAAAATAAAACTATATAACTGAAGATTGCTTCCTTGTAACACTGCACTCGCCTTGCTTAAACTGTTCAGTCCGTCAGAGAGAATAGGTCACATGATGTGACATTTTTTTTTAGCTAAAACTATTGAGCATTAGACTGAGACGAGTGGAATCACGAGTCTCACCTTAACTGTTGAATAAGATCTTTAAAAGGAAGTTTCTCTGATAAATTCCTTCTGATCCAGTCACTTAGATTAGACAAAACTGTGCTACTGTAAATTTGCTGGTTTAACTGTTGAGTATTATTTCCGATGTCAGTGGTTCATCAGTGTCAAGGATTTCACATTCCATTGATACCCAACTTTTACATCCAGTGCAATTGTTCCTTATTTGAGCACCTTCTTGAGCAAAATAAAAAAGAAACACAAAACTACCACAGTAGTATATAACCCTCAGCACAAAGCCATCTATTCAACAGATGAAATGTCTTTTAGTTTGTCCCTAAAGCTGCAGGGCTGACACTAAACTCAAGGAGAATTTAGTGTCCGTACCATACTTCCTGCCCTTTGGATTCAGTCAAGGCCACGGAGATCGAAAGCACATGCAGCTCTTTTGATGCCCTCAGCCTTAAAAAACACCCTTTAGCGAGGGTGCTGTCCTTTTGGAAGGATGACTGTGATTAGGCTGAATGAGTGTACGTCATCGATGTTGATCCAGCAATAGCAAAGCTTAGTGGTTTGGATACAGCACTCCGCTCTCTGACCGTCAGTTCATGAATAAAAGCTTTTATCCAATCTCTCCAGGAAGCACTTGTGACAAGCCTATGTGAACTAAAACGCATACAGATAAGGTCAACTCATCAAAGCTAGGGGGGATTTTATGGCCAAGCCAGAGTGGAGTGGGTTGCCAGGTTGGATGTAGGCAATGGAGGGGCAGTGAAAGGGCTTCCACACGGCCTTTTGTCCATCTCACACCTGCATCTCTGAACCACTGGACAAGCCCAGAGCGTTGGCCTCCTCTGTAGTCAAGCCGTTCTTAAGTGTCCTTCTCACTGTGCAGACAGAGAAAAGAGGATTGTTCAAATGTTTGCACGGCAGCCCATCATTTTTATTAAAAATAAATTATGCCAATTGGGTAATATTTGGGATGACTCACATGATTTTCGGTTGACTCGGGATCGCCTTCTCTCCCGAGGTTGCGTCCGCTGGCTGGGACCCTGAGTGGCTGACCTCACAATCCTCTCCATGATCTCATCAGCCGTATCATCTGTGCAGTTCACCGGGTCGTCACTGGCAGAGCACCATGGGGCCACACGCCCTGAAACAGAAAGGTCGGCAGGGATGATAGGTCAGGTGTTTAGAAACCAGAGTACTTCTTCCTCTTTTTACAGATAATATTATCAGCTGTTTTCTTTTTTACGTCAGATTTCTCGTCAATAGCTTTCATGCCTTTTGACCCAATGACTCCAAATTAATGCAGTATTATATGACTATAGCGGTCAAGTAGTACACCTCTTTTTATTGAATTTCCAGGCTTTTACTATTGTCTATGTATGAATATATTTTAAATTAAAAACGTAGTTATTGAAAAAAGTTTTTTTCTGAGTCTCCAAGAATTTTAAATATAACATTTGAAGATTTTCACATTAAAATCTTTATGTAAATGGGAGGTGGCCTAAAATCCAATAATAAGGGGTGTCTTATTAGTCCAGTTTAGAAATACTATCTAGTATGGATGGAGTCAACGGGACAAATGAGCTATGGTAAAGAGATGGAACTTAAAACTTTTGAATCACATTTATTATAAGATACATTTACGTTTTTTTCCACGCGTAATTTACTTCAACTCTATAAATAAAAACAAACTAAATATGGGAAAGATGGTATTAACAATAACATTTGTTTTGTGTGATTCAAACGGTAGATCATTGACGGTCCCTAAGTGAAACCCTGGGGTTAAGAGCAATAGCTCAGATGTGAACTAGTTGTCCATTGAATGCTCACCGTCTGATAAACACAGTATGAAGGATCAGGAAAGTTGTATGTATGTTTATGTAAGGCTAAAAAGATAAGAAATTATAAGAAAGATATTTCAGCCTGATGGACATACAGAGGGACAATGCCATCCCTAGAGGCATGCTGCTAGCGTAGCTAAAAATACCCCGTCTAGTGGAAGATTAGTTTAAAGGTTACAGGCTGGATTAGTGAAGTGTCACTGAAATGCTCATGCTGTGCTCATGGAGCATTCATGGCCACAGAGGAATACTGAATGATGATGAAAGCTGTACTGTAGGGGCTGTAACGGTGTTTCTCTGACTGACCTCGGGTGCCGCTGGCTCTGGTGCGTGTGCGGAGGCCGGGCACCGTGGACGTGGGGCTCTCTCCGCCCTGCAAGCTACTCTTCAGTACGGCCTTCATGTTCTCATGCTCGGCTGCATCCTCAGCATACTGGATCCCCTGAGGCTGGCTCTCCTGTGCCTCTGATGGAGCCCCGCTGAATTTACCACTCTGTAGGGTGAGGACACAGGATTACTACAATCAGACATTTTATTACAAGGTGTTTGCACTTTTAGATTTTGGGAAAAACCACACTGAACAGCTATAAATACCAAACATGTCATACAGGTTAATCTTCACTCATGACACAGCAGTTTTTCTATCCTGAGACAAGAAAAACTAGTGATGTTGCTGTTTATTCTGTGACACCCACAACTTAGTCCATTCATTTCCATAAGGAAGTACCTGCGACACCATGCGAATACCTCCTTTTCTTTCCTTGTCAAAACCTTCAAGCTTCCTCATTCATTGTAGGTTAAATGCACACAGAACCTGTCAGTCTTATGATGACTGGACTTTTGTTAGTCTCAAAAAATGTACCAGTTATTGTTTAAAGTTACTTCAGCATGTTGAATGTTAGTCACCACAGAAAGTTCCCATGCACATGTTTGCACACAAAGTCACCCCCCTACCTCACTATCATCGTCATCATCACTCTACAGAGATAAAGGAAATGGGGGAAAAAAATGCCAAGGTGTGGAGTGAATACAATATACAGCCAAATTAAAGTGAAAGCTCTTCATATACAAAATCACAAATATTTAGGAGGTGTTTTTAGACTTTCAGATCGATAAAGACACTACTAAGTTATCGTGTTTCTTTTTTTTACACAGGTCTAAGCATTTTCTCAAATCAAAAAGAAGCACATTGTCTTTGGTCTCTATTCATTTACATAAAAGGAATAGTTTAACATTTTGGGAGATACATTTATTTGCTTTCTGGCGAGAGGTAGATGAGAGGATGAGAGATGTCAGAGATGTATACCCCTCTCATGTCCGTAAAGTAGATGAACCCAGCAGCTGGTTAAGTTAGTTCAACCTGTTTACAAGGGAAGACAACAATGGGCCTACAATCACCTATCAAGTTAATTCATTAACATTTTGATATATTGTGTTTTTACCAAGGATATTGTTTATATTTCGTTTTTTTTCCCCAGCGCTTTTGGAAGAGCTAACTTTTTGTCTAAGCTTTAAGTCACTATGCTAGGCTAAGCTAACCATCTGTTGGTTCCAGTGACATTTTTAACAGACAGATAAAATAATCAATTATTCTAATGAATTCTCTGCAAATAATACAAAATCTTTCTCCATGTTGTTTATATTTTGTTATTTTTGGACACAGTGCTAGCTCTTTGCCTCAGCTTTAATGCTCTATGCTAGGCTAAGCTAACCATTTGTTGGTTCCAGTGACATTTTAAACTGAAAATCAATGTTTCCAAAGAATTCTCCGCAAATAATACCAAATCTTTCTCCAAAATCAAAAGTCCTATGGGGTTTTCATCCTCCAAAACCATAAAAAAACATTGCGGATGTATACGAGCTAGGGACCAGAGGAGCATATCTTTGTAAGAGTGTGGTTGAGGTGTGGGCCTTGTTATTTCTCCTTCAGGGACGTCCAAAGGTTTGAATTTTCACACAGTGATTGAATTAGAGTTCCTTTGAAGAGAAAGGGGCCCCTGCCAAGGCTCGCAGTGGAGTGGCTCTGAGCGGCCGACTCCTCAGGGTTTAAGGGATTTTAATCATGCAGGGAGGTGTTTGCTCTGGCCTTTCTTAGCCTGCTGCAGCTACAGAATGAGATACACCGAAAAGAAAAGCTGTTTGTTGTTACAGTAACCTATACATGTGAATACTGAGCAACTACGCTGATGTCATTACAAATGTACAGCGTGTCTGTCAGTAATGGCCACTTTCAACGATTTAACCAGATTAAGGTTATAACCAGTGTCGAGGGATTGCTCATATTGTCTCATGGAATTGAGAAAGTAGAAACTAGGCAAAGATGAGGATCAGGAAATGGAGAAAGTGTATGTGTGACCCTTGCTCTTGGTGAGTAGCACTTACATCTGTTATCATTTTCCCCCTGGTCTTGTTTCTCTCTCGGTGGTTGGCCCTCTTCTGTTTCTGTTGTAGCACGCGCTCTCTTGTTGTTCGATACTCCAGGGCAAATTCACTCAGGATCTTGCTAAAGCGATGAATGCTGACCTCACGTACTGCATATATCGGATGGCCCAGGAACAGCAGAAAGGCATGAAACCTGCAGATGTGTAGGGAAACATCACATCACTGTACAAAGTTCCTTTAGAAACAGAGTTTAAAACACATTAAAAAGTTACAAAAATGTCTTTAAATGCTAAAAATGGTTGTTAATCAAACAGATATGAAAATAGAATATATAGCTTTCCCAAGTTGATCTGATCCAGCATTTGATCCTCACGGAGCATACCTGTTGAGTATTCTCCGATGAACAATCTTCAGAATTATAATTCTCTCTGCACACTCTTTCAGGAAGTCAGACATTTTTTGTTTCAATGCTGGTTTCATCTCATGTTTCGCAATGACCTTGAGGTGATCCCATGATGCTTTGCACCTTCGCTCCATCTGGGCCAGATTGTCTTGAAGCTGGTCGAAATCCACCTAACAGAGTGGAATCACAGAATTGTCGAGGACTCTTTTCGGAGAATTTGACATTTGCATTACAAACAGATATTTAAAAATGTTAAAAACCTTGGTCAAGCGGGTGATTGCTCCTATCTCAGAGTAGAGGTCAGTGCTGTCTGGAAACTTCTCCACCACGATGGCGCAGGCGTGGTGCAGCAGGGACTGCTTATGAACTGTGTCCTTCACCTCCGGGACTTTCTCCAAGTAATTCAGCTCAAAGCCTTTCGCCTAGAGATGCATGTATACACAGCAAGTCAGAATGCGGGACGGAAACAACTGCATGGAATTAAAAATCAACTGCCCCTAGTCCAGGACTAAATTGTACTGAATTTCCTTTTTGGCACTCTCAGAAAAGGGACTCAATGGACTGAGCCAAGTAGATATGTAGATCCATTCGGTTGGTGATTATCAAAAACCACAATCTTACTTTGGTACTCCCCTTCCAAAAAAAAAGGCTGGACACTTCATGAAAGACACAATCCCAACAAGACTTCCCTTGTTCTGCTGCCAGTTTTAAATGGTTTACTGCAAAAATATAAATGCTGCTATTATTTACGGGAACTACTTGTTTTTGATTTATGTTTCCCTTGGCTATCATGTCCCAGGGGTTCACTAATGCATAGAAATACACACAGAAATCCCCATTGCATAAAAGAAAGCACGAAACAGATGCCAATCAAGCACCCAGACAAACACAAATAGTCCGAAAACACACAACCACCCTCTCTTTTTCCACAGAGCCTTCACGAGCGTTTTTACTGTAGAAGGACAGTGTCTGCTGCAGACAGTCAGGCAGCACATTCTTCTACACATAGAGAGTCCACTGTTATCCTTGCCAAATAAATATGTTGGCGGAGGATTTGGGAGGAGGAGGAGGAGCGTGGGAGGAAATGGAGGAAGTGAGTAAAAGACACACAGGGAGAGAAAGTGAAAGAAGAGGAACCTCTCGGCCATATATGTCCTGAAGGTTACTCACATTAGTGCCATTGAGGAAGTTGCCAATAGCCAGCAATGTGGTCAAGATGTAGCGGAGAGTCTTGTTCTTCTCTAACTGGTCCATCCCTTCCTTCAGGTCCTGCAGAGGCTCGGCCACTTCCTGAGAGCATGAAAGGAAGTTCAGAAGCACATTAGCTACTCTTACCTCTTTTTGTCAATTCATTTAGCTGATAACAATGCACAGTAAACACAGATTTTATATGCAACCATCAAACGTTATTAATTTGAGCATTTTTCCATTCAAAACATTTAGATGAGCACATCATATAATTCTTATACATACTGTATATTTACACAATACCCTATTATCCTATATTTTCTTTTAACACATGATAAAATAATCAATCATCACTCTTCCCATTCCTCTAAATATTTTGCAAATGTAGCTATTTAAAACTACACACCGCTTCCACTTTCATATACTATACTGCACATATTTTCTTTATACAGACATTTTTCATAATCCTATTGTATTTCCTTTTTTGTATATTTATAATACTTATAAACAATCGTTTTGCTGCTCCTATTTTAAAGCTTAAATGAACTTAATATGCTTATGCATGCACCATTATACACCAGAGCAAATAGCTTGTATGTGTAATGGAAACTTCTTGAGCAAGGACTCGAAACACAATGAGAAACAGGAGAGCTCGAATCCTGATGGCAGACACTGAAGATGAGTTTGAAGTTACGTTAGAGAGTTGACAAAGACATTTTCTGAAGCCACCAAGTGACACAGGTCCTGCCTAACCAATTCTGAAGATCTCTCCCAAATCCCAAGTCTTTATCTAGCTCTAGACAAAACTATTCTCAAGGGAAGAGAGAAGGTGGCAACCGAGGTCGCGTGCCTGAACGCTGACTATAGGAGTAGAGGGATAAACTGGTTAAAAGGCTGAGGCATAGGAAAATATATTTCTCAACAGTATGTGTAAACCTACTGCCCAATAAACCTGATCCATAGTTTTCCATTGTTTTACTTCTCGTCACTCTTGGTGTGATCTACGTGTGATTCCAGTGGACAGGCACGTGTCTCACCTTCTCTAGAAGCTCATAGTCCATCTTGAATGCCCACAGCTGCAGGCGGGCCGACAGCTCTGTGATGGAGGACAGGGTGAGGAGGAACTGCTCGGCGCTGCCCAGGGGAATATCAGGGCTGACCAGCTGGGCCTCCTGGATCCTCTGCTTCTCCTCCTCTGTGGGGATCATCGTCAGGATTTTCTAGGAGCGGGAGGAAGAAACGAGGAGGGGAAGGGAAGGGAACAGGCTTTAAGGATCATTCATCAAGTCTACCTATGAAACTCCTAAGATACATTTTTACAAAAATATGTCAGGGAGTATACCATAGGAGGGAAGAAACAAATTCATTTAGACATTTCTCTGCGTGTTTATCTAAGATGTTTCCAATTTTTCCCACAAACTTGCACGACATCTGAACTTTCAACCTCCCTTTTTTTTAGTATGTCTGTAAGGATCTCCGGGGACAAAAGGTGGGGATTAATACTCCTTTATTCTAAGAATGAACTCAAGGTGAAACTCTTTAAACTACAGGTTATTTTACCCCAAAGGAATGCAACATTAATCATTATCCACTGAAAAAACGGCAGTATGGTTTTTTAAAAAAGCTCAAAATATGCATGCGGAGCTCTTCTTTAATCATCATGTGATTTATAACATGAAAACAGTCGAACAGCCAGCTGTGCAGCCAGGACATCACTCTAAATGTCAACACTCCCATATAGAAAAAGTAAAATTCCTTCCGTAATCCATCAGTGTATTTTGGTGTGATGAGTAAATGTCATTAAAGTGAGCTTTAAGTGTTTGACAGTGCCTTACCAATTTAGATACTCTAGAAATGCTCACCTCAATGCCCTCTTTGTTCAGTGCGTACTCATCAAAGTTGAGGATAGCTGTCTTAATGGTGCGAGGAGGAGGTAAGACAGTCAAGCCGATGTTTATAGCGTTGCTGCGTTTTGAACCCAGGACGATGATTTCTTGTCGTTTGCCATCAACAGCTGCTTTCTATGAGAGATACAAAACGGCATCACATTAGCGCAGGACTGATTAGCCTTTACCACAAAATGAACAACTAACTTACATACTATTCACCATTATAGTAATAATAATATATAATATCCTTCGCTATAGATTTAGCTTGTTTACCCTGGTAAGGTGTGGTTGTGGTGGGACCTCAACCATTCTAAATGCCACCCAGGGGGACAGTAGTGAGCCCAAAATGATTACTAAAATCAAAAACAATCCTTTCTAAAATGGTGCCAAATACCAGGAGTATACAGTATATAATACTACATGGGTCTACTGTTACAACAGCACAGCGCTAATTTACCTTAGTGACAGGCAGCTCCTTGGACTTGGACTCAAACAGCTGCTCCAGTTTGGATGTGTCCACTTTGACTGGCTCCAGTTTGGACCAGAGGGACTCTTTACAGAATTTATGACTCTTACACTGCCAGTCCACGGGACGCACCTCGTTCCAGAAGAGACGGATGGTCTTCTTCTTCTTTTGGAAGAGAGGCATCTCCCCTCGACTCAGCTGGGGGGAGGGCGGGGGGAGAGGGGGCATGAATGGGGGGGGCGGGGGCATCATTTTGCCAAGGAGGGGAGGGGGAGGAGGAGGGGGGCATCCGAACAGGGGCGGGGGAGGCGGCAGGGCAGCATTGTATGGCGGAGGGGGGGGTGGGGGTATCAGGTCACTTGAGCCCATCAGACTGTCCATATCTAAAATGTCCATGTCGTCCTCGTCCCTCAGGTCCGTGAAGTCCATCTCTTTGATGCGCAGCTCCCGGGGTTCGGCCATCAGCTGATCCCAAATATAGTCTGACTCTTTCTTGGGGGGTGCGGTTGCCGTGGCAGCCGTTGATGATTTGTCCGTCTGCTGCTGCTCTTTAGAGGCCTCCACCTCCGGAGGACATGTCAGGCCTTTGACCAGATCGCCAAACTTCTCTGCCACTGCTCGCACATTGCCCTGGTTGTCCAGATGCCCCACCTCCATTTTCTTCACATTTTCCTCCCTGGCCTGTCTGTGAGCCTCCAGTGTGGAGATCCTGCTGGCCAGGCTAGCCACAGAGGAGTCGCCCACCTCTGCCTCCTTCTCACATTTACAGTTCTCTTTCTCCGTTTCTGCTACATTCTCTTCATCCTTGCTGGTTGTGGCCTGAGCGTAGAGCATGTCCAGCATGAAGCGCTTGCTGTTGAGTATTTTGTTGCACTGGTCGTTCACATCTGCGTCTTTAATGCACTGGGTCCACTGGCCTGTTGATACAGACACAATTTAAGAAAATGGTTCATAGGTAGCCGATTATGATAGTAAGTGAATAAAATGTGACGTTAATAATTGTGCAATATATACCTGGCTGCTATATGCTGCTATGCATTACATTAATGCACACAATGTACAACAATATCTGTATTTTTTTTTTATTACTGCCGATTTTTATTCCATATTTTATTCCATTCCATTGCAATGTAAATACTGTTATATTTTACTATATTTTTTATTATTATAAATATTTTTTCTAGTTCTCTACCTGTGTTTTGAATTCTTGTTTTACTTTTATGGTGATTTACGAGGAATTTGACTTGGTGTCATGGTATGCACCACGACACCAAGTCAAATTCCTCGTATGTGTAAACCAACCTGGTAATAAACCTGATTCTGATTCTGATATCTTCAGGACTGTTACAGGATGGGTATTTTGTAAATTGTTTATTTTTTTTTTTTTTTTTTTATCTTTAATATTTTTTAATGCGTGCTTCTTGGTTAACATTAAGCTGTATTTGGCTCTGTTCTGCTGTAACAAATGTAAATGTCCCCTCTGTGGGACGAATAAAGGTATTCTGATTCTGAAATTAGCATGGAACATACCTGCTTCGATGTCGTTGGTGAGTTTCTCCTCCCGCTCCTCCCTCTCCAGAGTGCTACTTGTGGAGGAGATGCTGGATGCGGAGCAGTTGTCCTTTTCGTTCACTTCCTCGTTCTGTCTCTCCTTCTCACTCAGCAGTACACTGTCTTCTACATCCCTCTCCGTCGGCTGCTCTTCCTCCACATTCACCTCCACCTCTGGTTGTCCCTCCTCTACGACCTCCACGTCCTTCACTTCCTCTTCTGCTTCTACCTCATCCACACACTGCGTCTGCTCCTCAAGCTTCTCCTGCTCCGGCCTCTTTTCTGTCTCCATTCCTGACCGTTCATCTGACGCCGACTCTGGCTCTACATTCTGTTCGGACTCAGTCTCTTCAACATCCTCTGTCTCTACAGGCGACTCTTTCTCAGTCTGCTGCGTGTCTGGCTCGGGGGGAGGTGTGGGAGTAGGTTCTGGTACTGTTAACTCTGGCGCCAGACTTTCGGGTCTGGTCTGCGGGTCAAGGTTTGGCTCTGAGATACGTTCTGTTCCTGGAAGAGAAATCCAAACAATGTGGAAAACAATGTTACTCGAGGTACAGTTATGTGCCTTTATATTATCTGATCAGAACATGTTTTTGTTTATAATTAAACAGTTTTAAATTGCTTCCTGACATGTCCTTAATTGCACCGAGAGACTGTACATTTCCAGACTGTAGAAATAGTTCACAAAGCAATCATCAAATTCAGTTATCATGGCTAATGACCATAGAACGTAGACACTCTGTAAAACACAAGCTATGTAGCTGAGAACGAGAGAGGTTCAATTCAAGCTTTGTTTAAGTTGTTAACAAATACATGTGTTTTAGAAAAAACAAATGAATGTAATATTGAAAGATAAAAGTACTTTAGATCCTAAAATCAATGAGGTTATCTCCATCAGCACACACATGCAAACAACATCAAAATACCTGTATCTACCTTCCTTAATTTGTTAATACATTTTGATTTGTATTTCAGATAAGATATACTTTATTGATCCCAAATTGGGATTTTTTATTTTAAATGCAGCAGCATGTCAAGCAGGTAGGCTATTGCACATAATTAGAATACAAAAGTGTAGAAAATAAATAACATAAATAACATTGAACACATGTTTCTAGAGTGTAATGCAGCTGAATCAAATTTCTTTATGAAAATCATCAAGTGTTGCCAAGCCCAGTGTGTGTGACAGGTGCACTGTGTCCGCCACGCTTGTATCACTTTGGTAATGATGATGAATAAACGGTACCAAACACCAGTTACCTGACGTTTGTTGTGCAGTGTCTTCCTGTGAGATGATAGACGAAGGAGTGGTACAGCGGGACACAGAGCGGCTCACAGGGTTGGGACTCAAACACAACGTGATCTCTGTTCGTCCTCTCGTTGGCACCCTGGGGCGCTCCCGCTCAAACTCCTCTGAGGCTAGCCTCTCCACGGCCTTGTACCTGCAATGATTAAATATAGCCTTCAGACGTCTTCGTTAGATGCATGCCCTTTGGTTGTAACAGCTTTCACCTCAGCCATTTAATAGCTTTGGTATAGTCTGATAGAAACATACATGCAAACGTACACATTTTTCGCTAATTGTAACAAATAACTTAGAGGTGGGGTAGGTAAGTTTGAGAAACCGGCTCGAGATACACTTTTTGTTATATTCCATGGAATGCTCTTAACATCCCGATAGCAATGAATATCTTAAGTGCTTTGACAATGTCATCTGTGGAAACTGTAGTACTGTAAAAAGCACGACCAATCATTTTAGCCGGGCCGGCTAAAATAACTGGATGGCCTACCTGCCTGTCAGCCTTCCATCTGGGCACAAACTTATCTCGTGCCCTCATTGGTCATGTGCGCTTTCGTGTGTGTTGGAGGAGGAGCTCTGTAAGGAAGTGGCAGATCTTTTCCGGCTGTATATTTTCAAATTCTAGCGCACTCGAGCTGGTTTCTCCAAAATGACCTACCCCACCTTTAAGTGGATGATTATATTGTGTGTTGTATTGTACTTTTTATATTTGGGGTGTACTGTGGTTTTATGGTACTGAAGGCTGTACAGTATATTTTAATAACCATGTATTATTAGTTGTAATGGACCAAATAGGGACAACATTGAACTTTATTGAAACTATGGTAAATTGCATTGTCCATATAACGTACAAATTCAAATATATAACATTTAGAGATTGAACTGCAATAAAGCTTTATTCTAAAAGTTAAAATCTCTGAACATATCTTTTAGGGGTGGAAACAAATGTATACCATGCCCATTCTGTAACAGGAATTTAAATACATTGATAAATTGCCCTGAAAAATCCTCTGTAAAGATAACACTTTAAAGACATGTGCATGTGTGATGAAAAATGAATTCAGGTTTCAAAGAGTTATAGCCTATATGTGTGCTTTTGACATATATTTGTCTCATTCCTCTCTTATTCACACACTCCAAAGATTATTATGAAACATTTAATTGATGACTCAGGGAGTCAAATTATTAAAAAGGAGATCCTCCGTTGCCAAAGTGCTGTCCAACATTTTTGACTGGTGTTAAATGATCTCACATTCTTTACAGGGTTGAAAAAGGTAAGGGCATAAGAATGAGCTATAAATCATATAGCGCTCACACTCAGACATGGTCAGAGGGAGATAACTGGAGCACATCCATGCCAAACCCCAATTACACACTTGTCCAGTTAACTTCGGGACGTCTTAATAGTGAGCAGGCCTTAAGGGGCTCTGACACCTATAAATAAGCCCGAAGCTTTCCATCTGCTGTCAATTTTAAAATAGGATCGCAAAGCATTTACGAGCCTCTTGATCTGTTTGATCTACCTTCACAAGTGCAGCCTTACTATGTGATCCATGTGAACCCATGAACTGCAGAAACTCACCTCTCCTCTCTGGCGTGTCTTGCTTCTTCCCTCTTCTCTACATAATCTTTACTGAGAAAGAAACACAGACACGGAGCAAGGATTTAGGATATTCACTGTGTGCATGAATAAATTATTTCAATTGCTCTACTGAAAATGATGGAAAGTAAATCATAAAAAGGTAGGACAAAACAACAAATGCCTGTGCCTTGATTTAGTATTTCCAATGATCCTCACAAAAAATGGCAGCCAAGCATTTAAAAGACTTGAGATTTGTGCATTTTTCATGATGATTTGTTCCAACATTTATTGGCTGTAGAGCTGCATATGGTAACTATGGAGACTAACTTGAAGCGGTTCCTCTCTTCTCTTTCGATTCTCTGCAGTCGCTCTTCTCTTTCCAAACGTCTTCGCTCTCTTTCCGCAGACAGAGACTCCTGATGCTGCCTATATGAAGACGTTAGCAAGCCCCCTATAGCAGGTCTAAAGGAAAAAGGATATATGTGGTAACATCAGCAAACAATAAGTGATTGGTTTGAGTTTTGATTTAGGTCAGGGATGTCCAAACTTTTTTCACCGAGGGCCACATACATACAAATATACGGAGGGCTGGGCCGCTCACTAGAGGTATATTGCCTCATAAGTTCAGTTATAAGTCAGCAGAATCAATCAAATGTAGGTCAATGATGCTTGTGAGTGTTGGCAGATCATCCCTTAAAACAGAAGCCTCAGATTGATTATAATAAGGAGAAATAGGAAGGGTCTATTTCAAGCTTGTTATAAGTCATTGGGCTTTTTTTCTTATCAACTAAGGAATGTATTTGAAAAGTGGTCTTATTAACACACGAATACTACTGTGTAATATATTTTACATTTATATTTACAGTAAGAAGTACACTATTAGACAAGCACACGTTTCATTTTGAATTTGATGAGGGCCGATTCAAAATGGTCCGCCGGCCGCAGTTTGGACACCCCTGATTTAGGTATTTTCAAATGAGTTCAAATGGGAGCTTTACAGATTGGGTGGGCTACAATAATCAGCCATAAAGACTTAGTATTCTGCGTTGGCTGTGGAAAAGTTCAGATGCCAACCTGTCAACTGATTTGGAGTCTGGTGTGGAGGCAGCTGAACTGGTGAGGCGCTGGCTGGGTGACGTGGGAGGGGGGTGCCTGCCAGGGTATGGACTGCCATTGGCACTGATCCTGTGAAAGGAAGGTTGAAATAAATGCCTTGTTCTCTCATAAGACATTTTTGACTGAAAGACAGAGAAGGATGGACAACATTTGAGGAACCTGTGATGTGATGTGAATTCCAATGTCATACTGCTGAATAGTTTACACTGATATATGACTGTGTTGAGAGCTCTTAAGCACCTCTCCCATGTGATCTGAATAGCTTTCCTGTGAGGAAAGCTGTGTCATCAAAGCCTGAATGGTATCTGCAGGTGTACTGCTCATCCATGTCTGTGTATGCAGACTATCTTTTATAAATGCATCTTTTCACTAAACCCACTCTTTTCTCCGAGGCCTTATTCTTGTTGTGTTGAATGGGATCGGAGTGAACTGCACATTCAGTCCTAGAACAGTTGCACAACAAATAAAAATAGCTAACAAAGATGTCATAATCAATAATTGAAAACACACTAGTGTTCAACTTGGCTTTCAGACAGACTGAAACGAATAAAGTGAACACATGATGCTCATTGTTAAGTTCATACTAGTGTTTTGAGTTTCTACTAGAACATGTTCACAAACTTTAATGTTTAAAAAACAGTTTCTGTCTCTAAAGGATGTTCTCAAGCCTTGGGGGGAAATCTGTATGGCTTGTTGTTTCCCATGTTTTCTTTCCTAGGCAGCCTAAACAACTGTCTGGGTTGACATATCTCACAGTTTGTGGGTTGGTAGGCACTCCAGATACCGACATCTATGTGCACAAGTACTGAAGATAATTAAACTACACTGAACACAAATTTAAATGCAACACTTTTGTTTTTGCTCCCATTTTTCATGAGATGAACTCAAAGATCTAAAACATTTTCTATATACACAAAATAACCATTTATCTCAAATATTGTTCACAAATCTGAAAAAAATCTGTGATAGTGAGCACTTCTCCTTTGCCGAGATAATCCATCCCACCTCACAGGTGTGGCATATCAAGATGCTGATTAGACAGCATGATTATTGCACAGGTGTGCCTTAGGCTGGCCACAATAAAAGGCCACTCTGAAACGTGCAGGTTTGCTTTATTGGGGGGGTCTGGGGGGGTCCGAAAACCAGTCAGTATCTGGTGTGACCACCATTTGCCTCACGCAGTGCAACACATCTCCTTCGCATAGAGTTGATCAGGTTGTTGATTGAGGCCTGTGGAATGTTGGTCCACTCCTCTTCAATGGCTGTGCGAAGTTGCTGGATATTGGCAGGAACTGGAACACGCTGTCGTATACGCCGATCCAGAGCATCCCAAACATGCTCAATGGGTGACATGTCCGGTGAGTATGCTGGCCATGCAAGAACTGGGACGTTTTCAGCCTCCAGGAATTGTGTACAGATCCTTGCAACATGGGGCCGTGCATTATCATGCTGCAACATGAGGTGATGGTCGTGGATGAATGGCACAACAATGGGCCTCAGGATCTCGTCACGGTATCTCTGTGCATTCACAATGCCATCAATAAAATGCACCTGTTTTCGTCGTCCATAACATACGCCTGCCCATACCATAACCCCACCACCTCCATGGGCCACTCGATTCACAACATTGACATCAGAAAACTGCTCACCCACACGACGCCACACACGCTGTCTGCCATCTGCCCTGAACAGTGAAAACCGGGATTCATCCGTGAAGAGAACTCTCCAACGTGCCAGACGCCATCGAATGTGAGCATTTGCCCACTCAAGTCGGTTACGACGACGAACCGGAGTCAGGTCGAGACCCCGATGAGGACGACGAGCATGCAGATGAGCTTCCCTGAGACGGTTTCTGACAGTTTGTGCAGAAATTCTTTGGTTATGCAAACCGATTGTTGCAGCAGCTGTCCGAGTGGCTGGTCTCAGACGATCTTGGAGGTGAACATGCAGGATGTGGAGGTCCTGGGCTGGTGTGGTTACACGTGGTCTGCGGTTGTGAGGCCGGTTGGATGTACTGCCAAATTCTCTGAAACGCCTTTGGAGACGGCTTATGGTAGAGAAATGAACATTCAATTCACGGGCAACAGCTCTGGTGGACATTCCTGCTGTCAGCATGCCAATTGCACGCTCCCTCAAAACTTGCGACATCTGTGGCATTGTGCTGTGTGATAAAACTGAACATTTTAGAGTGGCCTTTTATTGTGGCCAGCCTAAGGCACACCTGTGCAATAATCATGCTGTCTAATCAGCATCTTGATATGCCACACCTGTGAGGTGGGATGGATTATCTCGGCAAAGGAGAAGTGCTCACTATCACAGATTTTTTTCAGATTTGTGAACAATATTTGAGAGAAATGGTTATTTTGTGTATATAGAAAATGTTTTAGATCTTTGAGTTCATCTCATGAAAAATGGGAGCAAAAACAAAAGTGTTGCATCTATATTTTTGTTCAGTGTACTTCCCCTTTAATGTAAATCACAAAAAAAACATTTTATATCTGGTCCCTGCTCTTTTAATCTTGACCTGTTTACACCTGGCCTTACCTTTCAGCCCAGGTAGGCTTTCTGGTTGTGTAAGATGTAGGAAAGGTGTTTGTATCTCTCAGACTGGAGATGGAAGTGAGAAAAAGAGGAAAGTAGCAGTCAGGGGAGACACTCCAAGGATCAAACAGTTAAATGTTAGTCAGAAAAGCAACATAGTGAGACAGCAGTAGAAGGTAAGTGTGCTGGAAGACAACACAACAACACACTTGACAGGGGCTAGAAGACAATATCTCTGTTAGTCTTACTGATTCATTGTGTCATTTAGAAGGCTAAACAAAAAGTGTTCATTAAAAAGAAATCAATTATTTTTTAACTGAATCACTTATTATTGTCCACTGCACTGAAAAAAAAGAATAATTTGTGCTTGGATGCATCAGGGATACGCTCTGCTATGTCCAGACTATCACGTTTCTATTGTGCTCTGCAAAAACATGCATTACTAAGAGAAAGTGTCTGTGACTCATAATACTTTAAATTCCTTAATGCTTTGATTTGATTGATACAGTGAGGGATACAGACACCGGTGATGGGGAGGACCAAGTTTTAAAGGGGTAACGGTAAAAAACAAGCAGATGAACTGTGGCTCCTGCCCTCTAACCTGCAGCGCCTCTCTCTGTCCTGGCCCTTCTCACTCTCCTCGGCCCAGACAGACACCTGGCTCTGGTTCAAGTCAGGGGACGGAGGGAGAGATCGGGAAGGAGGGGGAGGGGGAGGAAAGGGGGCTGAGGCCGGGGCCGATTGACACTGAGGCTGTGCTGAGACTGGCACTCTACGGGAGACACAGTCAGGTGGCCGGGGACTAACGCTCCTCTTTTTAGGAGCGATGGACACGGGAGAGGACGTCCTGCTGAGACATTCTCTCTGCCCTGGTTGGTCACTGGCTTTAGGGAGGATGTTGGTCATACACTTTAAGTTCAAACACATGTAAGGAGTGTCTGCTACAGCCGGAGCCACACTAGGATGACAAAATACAAGAGAGAGGGAGGACAATACTTACAAATGGCTGGGAGATACTATGAGGGAAATGGGAAATCAAGCTTGACCTAAAATACCTGTGAGGGCCCTGTCTAGAGGACTCAGTGACTGGATGACTTTCATCATCTGCCTCTTCCTCGTCCTCCTCATCCTCCTCCTCCTCCTCCTCTCCTTCCTCCTCCTCCTCTTCTTCCTCATCCTCTTCTCTGTAGGGAGATGAGGGGTCGAGGGTTGAAAGGAGGTAAGGCGAGAGGGGAGAGAATTTGGACAGAGACAATATGAAAACACAGAGTAGAGGAAAAGCCCGGGCAAGACAACACACAGAAACGACAAACACTTAAAAACATGCTTGTCAAAAAGCATTAGAAGTAGAAGAAGAGAGACAAACATTGAACAATGTATGAGAAGGTTAGTGGATTTTGACAATAGTCAAAGACAACATCTCAAAAATGAATATTAGACATGCAAGGTCAACAGTTAAAACTACATTCAAGTGTATTTTATATGGCAGCATTAGTACAACAAGTGTTAGATTTGAAAGGTCTCTGTGATTTTAATTGAGGAAAAAGTATTACATTCAATAACAAGTGTTGGAGATGTAGAAATAAGTTGTGTGTTTGAGCTGATAGTCAGGGATACATAGTAAAACACGAGTCTGTGGCCACTTTGCTTTTTGGATCCCTCTTGGTTGTCTGGATTTCATTAACAATATGGACTCTTCAAAGGCGGCTAGGATTTCCTGTGGTAGACTGGAAGAAGCTAGTCTGGTATCATATGACCTGCTGGACTGAATTTAAGTATACCTTAAGACCTGAGTGCTACCAGAAATATTAGTGCTACTTTAAAAACGCGTGATTAATGATAGGTGATTTCATTATGTTGAACTAGGCCAGACATTAATCAGTCGGGGATTGAAACACAAAAAGAAATCATTCTTAGTTTAAAAATCACACCTTGTTTTTGTTTTCCGTGGTGTGACCTTTAATAAAAAGTGCAATGACAAGTGCATGACTTCCATAAAGAAGGACTGTATGACTAACTTTTTCTGAAGCTACTTGTGCTACTGCACAATTAAATAAGATCGCAATTTGCCTGAATCACCAAATGTGGTTTTTCTGAGTTAGTGTAGTCACAAAGTTGTGTTGTATATAAAACAGATGGCATTGTGGAGTTTAATGTATTCCCACTGAAGGAAGCATGACTTGAGACTGAGAGCAGATAGCTCATATCGTGTGTTTACAGAAGCTTCCTATTTCCATCTGTGGCAGGAGAATGTCTTTGACAGTGGGGAAATTAATTCAAATGTCACTTTGCAGCAAGGATCTCGTCTTGGCCGTTCTTTAAAATTACTATATAATTAAATTATCTGCTTTGGCTCTAGAGAGAATAGACACATCTCTCCAAGGCTGAAATATAATACAACACTTGCAGTCAAGCTGTTTCCTATGAAACAGAGTAATACTCCACGGAGCAGGGAGAATTTGGGATTCCATTTTAGTTGCAGGTATCTCTAAATATAAAAAGATCAAAACAAACCCTCCTGGCTGAACCTTTTATAACCAGGATCAGACCTAGGTCAAGCTAAAATGGAAGCAAAGATAACATTTAATTTCTCTCTTGAAAATGTTCCACTTTTCCATTTCTCTCTGTCCTCCCCCCCGCCTCACCTTTCACTGATGTCTTCAACACGTTGGCCACCGAAGGGCAGGAAGCGGCTTGCGGGAGTATGAGGGCTGCTGGGAGATGCTGGGGCAGAAGCGTGGCCTCTGCTGTTTTGGAGCGAATGTCTCCGGCTGCGTCTTCTCTCTAGGCCCCGCTTCTCATTGGTTCCCCCGACACTGGCCCGCCGGCGCTCCTTGCGGACGCTGGGAGGCAGTTGGGTTTCCTCGTCTCCGTCCTCGTGGCGGAGAGTGATCTGGATAGAAAGCATCACAAAAAAAACTGAGCAAATAATAATAATAATAATCAGAGATGGCAAAAGTGCACACGTCCTTTACCCAAGTAGAAGTACAGATACTCGTGTTTAAAAATACTCTGGTAAAGTAGAAGTACTGACTAAACTTCTTTACTCAAGTAAAAGTATAAGTACGCTTTGAAATGTACTCAAGTAAAAAGTACCCATAACTACCAACTGTTTTAAAAAGTAACTGACCTCCCTTTGTATTAATAGAACAATAATGTCACTGTTAGCTAATGAAGGTTTCGATGCTGAACAACGGCAAAATGACAAAGTTCTCATTGGTCCCTCTTCTTTAGAGAAGACCAGGAAGTGATGGATACGGACGGATCGTGTTCAAATGAATAGGCACACAATGACTCTGAATAATAATGATCACGCCACCAAATGCAGGTTAAAGCTAAAGTAACAAACCTGTTTTGAAAATGTAAAAAGTAGAAAGTATTTGTGTTAAAAATGTAAGAAGTAAAAGTAAAAAGTTGTCAGAAAAATAAGTATTGATACCAGAAAAAAGTAAAAAAAAGTATTTGTACTCCACTACTTCCCACCTCTGATAATAATAATAATACATGGGATTTTTATGGCGCTTTTCCTAATGCTCAAAGACGCTTTACATACAATCAGAACAGAAACAAAACAAAGATATAAAATAAATTAAATAAATCAAACAGCAACCCTGTGAGCCAGGACACACATGATCTTTAATATTACATTAAGGCTGGTTGTTATGGAAAAATGTGGCAGTTTAGGCTTCCTGACCTCGTAGATGTTGAACTGTTCTACGAGGTCGAGGTCCGTGCCCTTCCTGCTCAGGTGTCTCTGGGCCACCGCTTCGACACCCTGCTCCTCCAGACAGTCCACCATGTCGTAGTACGAGTCCTGATCTGGGAGGCCTGCCAGCGTCTGAAACACATTCAATAAAACATTTACAAGATATAACCTTGGCCCTGCAATATCTTGGATTAACTGTGAAAGTGAATTGAAACAATAAAGAAGGATCGGCTGAGAGACAGAAAGGGAGTACAATTACTTTTGTTTTGTTCAAACCTTGAAAACATTGAAATGGAATCAGTAGCCAGATATGCTATCCAAATAAACTTCATTCATATTGGGTTGGTCTCCAGTGTAACTATATCTCTGTGCACTATACAACTGGGCAGGTTCATTATATTCATGATACTGCACAGTCCATAGTTCTTTTTAATCAAGGTTTAGTCTGCTGGTGCTGTAGCTGTTGATTGTACTTTGGTAAGCTTGACAGTCTTTGTGTTTATATCTGGGTGACACATTGTCACAAATGCAATCACAACATATAGATTGTATTGGATTTAATTGAGCTGACAGAATGGCCTAGCAGATAATTTCACATTTAGAAACCCAGATACAAGTTTTCCACAATTTGTAACAGGAATTAAAAGATAGAGAAAATATGGAAAGAAGCAGACAACATTTTACTAGCAATTGGTATAGAGCTACTTGCCAAACCAACAGTAAGAACTGTAGGTAGTTACCTTATTGATGAGTGTCATCGCATACACCAGCAGCTCCGTATCCACTCCATCCTTCTCCTCCAGGATTTCCATGATGTTTGACCACAGTTTTGTTCCTGCAGCAGAGAAAAGGCATGCAACACATTGTATATCACAAGACAAACTCAAGACGCACTTGATGACAAAGATACCTGTATTAATAATAAAGTCGTAACTAATCCATCAGCTAGTTTTAAGAAATAAAAAACGTTGCAACAGGGAGCCGGAATCCAAACAAAAACAATGTTGTCATCCCATGGCTCCAGAAAGAGAAATCCAGTCAAAATTGTCTGCAATAGCCTCAATAAAAAGGCTCTGAGGAAAAATAGAGCGGGGGCAATTTGATCTCCGGCTGTGAGTGTCAGACACAAGAGTCAAGTCCATCTCATCAGGAGACTGAGGATCAGGTTCAGTCTTCTTATGCAACAGCAGAAGTGACGGGATAAGAGCTGAGACAGAGGGATACCTGACTCCAGCACAGCCAATGATCAGTCTCCTCTCACAGTACAATGTGGAGCCTTCAGAGCGGCAGGTAACTGAACCCCGCTGCAGACAGCAGTTACAGTCTTTCTCAATAAGCCTCGTTCCATGCATAGCTCTGGAGCTGTACAGGACAACTGATCTGAAAACGGTGTAACAGGAGACTGATCTGCAGTCAGCTGAACAGCAATACAGCCACCATGGATGACTTGATACGTGGAATTCATTTAAATATTAGCCCTTAATGGGAATTTTCTTTTTCACGTTTAGACTATTCACATAATAAATTAAATATCTCACTTTACTTGAAAATTTGAACAGCAGATAATAACAGCTGTCATAATGCACATGTGATGTTTCAGTGATATGTCCTCTTAGGTGGAAAAACCACATTCAAATAAAACTCTTTGGATGTAATATCCACAGAGCATTTGACAGTTTCCCCTGTCTGCTGATTTTGGCTTTAACATCCCAACATTTCTGTAAACGTACCTCTTTTGGCATCCACAGCATTAACAGCCTTTATGAGCAGGGCGGCGTTAGACTCGGTGTACTCCACAAACACCAGCAGCAGTTTTAGGGCTGTCTTCACCACCAGACGAAACTGCATAAAGAGAACAAATTAAGTTAACACAGATATCACAATGTGGCCCTAAAACCAATCATTAAAGAAAGAATCCACTGAATTTCAATTGTAAACTTCATGCTTAAATAAATGGATCAACACAACACAAAGGCTGAGAACCGCTCGAACGAACAACTATCAAATGGTATCATATTTTCTAATAAAAGCTTTTCCTGTCTAAAACGTCTTGAGAGGTTTGATAAGAACCATGTGTGTCGCTGGGCGAATGAATAGACATTTAAAAGCTCATGGGGAGCATACTGTTCTGTACTGAAATAATGAGGAATATCACGCACTTAAAAGTGACTACAATCAGAATCAAATAAAGACGGGGTTATAATAAACAAGAAGAGTGTTCAATATTTCGGCAGCCAAATAAAAAAATTATCGAACAAAAAAATTGAAGTAGAGAGAAAACTATCAGAGAGGGGAGTAGTAGGTCTGAAACACCATCAACATGTCAGTGGTGATAAAACCTTCAGAGATAATTTAATACGGCTGAACAGCTGCCACATCTGCACTACAACTGGTAAACACCCCCATGACCATAGTCAACATGACTGTTGCCAATGGAAATGTGGCATGTAAATTGATGGGAAGACACGGTTTGATTAAAAAAAAAATAAGCAGGGTGCCAAATAATATTCCAATATTTATGTGGGAATGGAAAATGGTAAAATGGTAAATGGACTGTACTTATATAGCGCTTTATCCAGTCTTTACGACCCCTCAAAGCGCTTTACATACTACATGTCATTCACCCATATTCATACAGAGCAGTGTACCTTACTCTAGGAACTAACATTCATACACATTCACACACCGTTGGCCATGCCATCGGGAGCAACTCAAAAAAAGTAATTAGTAGGAACAGAAAACAGTGAGGGAAAGAGAGAAGTTAATATCTTCATCTGCTGTGCGTTACACAATCTGGCCACTAGAGGGCCGAGGGAACCACAATGACAGAGGAGTTTGTGACAGTCTCTATCTCATCCTTGCACAGATGACTGTGTCTAATGTTAATATTCTTTACCTTGGATCCCACCAGGGTGTAAAGCCACTGCACCGTTTCATTGTGAGTTATGAGGCCGTTCATCCCGTCCACATACAGCATAATCTGACCGAGAGCTGGAGAGAAACAGAGAGAGAGAGATGGGCATTGGTTAATCATCTGCCATTTTTGTTTTGTTTTTTTCTTCTTTTTACTAAACGGACTACACTTGTTGTAGAAACCAAAGGAAAACACTGATAATTACTCTCACTGGAATCATTTCTCAAAAAGCATGTGAAACTTGAGTGATAAAGTCTTGTCTGGTTGTCTTTTCAATTTGTGGCAATATTCAAAACATTGACATTATTGGGCCAGAGAACTAAGGTAACACTCCCTGTGTACTCTGACATAATGATTTCAGCCCATCCCTCATGTTTGAAAAGAGGACCTTGTCATTATGAGCAAAACCGTTTTTTAAAGAATTTGCTGTGGTTGTCACGTCATAATAAACGAGCACACAATAACATTAATATTCCTCTGCCCATCATGATTACATCCTAAACTATAGTTGCTGGGAAAAGACAAACAAAGAAAAAGGGTCCACTCAAGTCAGAAGACACAACTGTAGGAAAAATATTTGAGTTGAGTACCTCACTGTATGCTGACATGACTTCCATCTATAACAGGATACATAAATAAGAACATAATAAGAGCCAAGGGATCCCTATTAGGGGCCATAACAGTGTAGGGCTTCTGTTAAAGTAGGAAATGGGGGAAGGGGGTCAAACACTGCTGGAAAGAAGTGAAACAGACGAAAGCTGCCTTTAAATATGGAGTCTTTTTATTTTAACAGCATCTCAGTGGCCATCCTTGGAGAGTTAATGCATGCACACAAAAGACCACAGCAACAGGATGAGCTCAGCTTGAACTCACTGAAACTGTAGGTGATACATTGGCTGACATGGGGCGGGAAGCATAGCAGTATAAACATGTGAACACATCGAAATGGAACATTTTTGGAAGGCCTGTTTGAATATTTCTTGGCATAAGCGGTCTTGTATAGGGGGTAATACCTAAGAGAATGTTCTTTTTCAAAAGTGAGAAAAGGTGATGCTTGTGCTAATCAAGTTCCAAGACGTATGAGTAGCTGGGCTGCTACAGCTGACAAACCGTGTGTTTTGAACTGTTGAAATCTTGGGAAAAAACTACAAATGGACAGGCAGAGTTCAATCTTTGACCGAAAACTATACATGACTTAAAAAGGCTTATTGAGAGTAAGATCTAATCTCCTTTAGCCATGTTTCTTCAGACTGGTTATGATGAGAGCCTGCAGATTCTGTCATATATTTCCCCCCTCCTCTTCTCTAGAGGGGCATGAACATTGTGAATATGCGGTAGATAAGCCAAAATTCCCAGGTGCAGCTGATGTCTGTGCATGGTGCGTGAGAGTGTGTGAGTGGGTGGATGCATGAGTGCATGCCTGTGTGTTGTGTGTGTGTGTGTGTGTGTGTGTGTGTGTGTGTGTGTGTGTGTGTGTGTGTGTATGTGTGTGTATGTATGTGTGTGTGTGTGTGTGTGTGTGTGTGTGTGTGTGTGTGTGTGTGTGTGTGTGTGTGTGTGTGTGTGTGGTGTGTGTGTGTGTGTGTGTGTGTGTGTGTGTGTGTGTGTGTGTGTGTGTGTGTGTGTGTGTGTGTGTGTGTGTGTGTGCTGCAGCAGCAGGGGCAGTTCATCTTTTATCAATCAGGGTTAATTACTCACAACATGTCAGGCCAGAGCATTCCTCACAGTCCTCTCCTGCTGTGAGCTCAGAGCCGGGCGTCACAGCAAGTCAGCGGCTTGGACAACATGGCGAATCAAAGCAGACCACATCAGAGTGTGTTTATGAAAACATGATTAACCTCCTCAGTCAGCGAGGGCCAGAGTGTCACCCTCTCCTGTGACTCCCCCCCTATTTGTATGGGACTACTGCTGACAGACGAGTGACAGCAGTAATGACATGACGTACAGCTGCTCCAATGCTTCCTATGGTTTGTAGAAAAAATGATCTAACTTTGTGAAAAGTGGTTAAAATAACTAGTCACGGTAATTCTTTAAACACAGACACACACAGCTGTGACTTTGCTGAATGAGTAAAGTGCGACACACTTCTTTTCAAACGGGTAGCCGATGTCTGACCTGCGGTATCATCATAGCAATGACTTCTATCTCCTGTGTGCACCTGTGTACAGTATCTGGTGAGGGTTTGAGGAATGTCCAATTGAAAACAGGGGTGAGAAAAGATAGGTGGCTTTAATGAGGCATTTTAAAGTGTCATTACACAACATGGATGTTCAGCTGCTGATAGATGAGACTTTGCTGATCGTTCCCTAAAGGCAACCACAAAATCAAATGACTCCGATTTTTCTCACATGTTATTTAAAGGTCCCATGTCATGGCCATTTCTACTGATCATATTTCCATTGTTGCGGTCTACTAGAATAGATTTACATTGTTCAATGTTCCAAAATTGCATTGGTTTCTCATACAGCATCTCTGGCACCAGGTATTCACTCTCTGTCCTAAACGGCTTGTTGGAGCTCCTGCCCCCCCCCCCCACCTCCCTGTGAGCCCAGTATGCTCTGATTGGTCGGGACGTTGCGAGGTTCGTTGCTGCTCGTTGCTGCTTGTTGCTGCTCGCCGCTGCTGCGAGGAGCGGACAGGTTTCCGGGTTGGCGATACAGCGAGAACAAGCGAAACTCATCCTGAGCACACACAAACACTCACAGCCGAAGTAAAAACAATAAGTGTGGCTTAATATTGAGTAAGAAAAAGGTTTATAACGCTGTGAGAATGGGTCTGCGATCCCAACTCGTCTATTACCAGCGTTTACCAGCCAAGGGATCCTGGTGTGTGTGAGGTACTCCGCGGATTGGTCCATTTGGGCCAATCCGGTCATTTGTTGTTGATTTGGGTGTTGACACGTCACAGAACCCAGGAAGTAAACAATGGAAAATGAGAAATCTCCAACGAGGCGTTTTGGGGCAGCATAGACAGGTCTGTTCTGTGTTAGAGTTTTACTCGCTACAGGGTGTAGGCTACTTTGAGGGTTTTTGAGTCTGCAGACCGTTTACAAACCTTCATAACACACAAGAGAACGGGTAATAACCGGAAAAGCATGACATGGGCCCTTTAAGACATCATTAAAATATATTGTCGATAGAATTCGGGATTTGTTGTACTTAAGCTTGTGAAATATAAACAAATGTCTATATAAAATGTGGATTTAATTCAATGAGCATTAGTTAAGCTTAAGAAACGATATGACTGACGAACCTCGCGAGGAACCACAGAGTAACCTTTCTTTTAGGTTCATTATAATAAATTATTCTTGCTGCCATTTATGTACAACTCAACTTTGAGCATGAGAAACCACATAAGCTGATGATACCCTGTGAACAGTTAAGTAAACTGATACTGCAACTGTTTGAAATAAATAAAATTACCTTTCATTATGAGAAACTGCAACCTTAAGAGTCTGGTCAGAAACCGTTTGAAGGAAACATCTAATAACTCTGAGAGTAATCGCCCTTTGTGAACTTCAAATAGAACTGATTTCCACACACTTCTGATTAAATTAGTCGTGAAACTGCTCCGGAAAATGGAAAGTGACCTGAGAGTTGCAGTCCAGGTATTTAAAGTTAGATTAAATCATTATACTAGGGCAAACTTTCCCAGCCTTTTTCTGAAAAGCTGGGACCTTGTGTCCAGAACATGGGAATTGTTTTTAAGGTTAACAACAAACAGTCATCAATAACTTCAGAAGATGGTTAATAAGAAGAGCATGTGAGTGGTGAGTATGTACAGGACACCCCCTACTTCAAGCACTGATCTGGGGCCAAAAATGTGGGCCTCGATACAAGTAATCATGAGCAGCTCGATAATACCTCACACAAAGCTCAACAATAACATTGCTAAATCTCTTTGCATGTATGTCACGTAATGAGATGTTGGCAGACAATGAGCTGCCTTCAAAGCACAGTGATTAGAATTTAAATGTAAGCCATTATGGGAAAAGAGAGCCAAGGAAGAAAGATTTAGCTAAAGAGAAACTTGGAAGTGTTCAATGAGACTGCTGGCGTCTGTACAGCACTCTCACAGTCTATTTCCTTCAAGGGCAAACATAAGTTTGCCCTAAGAGAACAGTTGAATGGTATCAAGCTGCAGATAGGGAGCCATAGTGTGGAAGAGACGGACCAAGTAAAAACCAATGCAACCGAGGTCTGGTGGAAGTGTTTCTTCTGGGCCTCTCCCTCTCATAAACCACAGCAATTATCTTCCACAACCGCAGGAATGTGCAGGAAAGGCTGCTCCCTGACCACTGCCGAGGTGAGAAGCACTCTGAGGTCTGGGTGGCAGCACCAACACGAGCCAACCTACTAAAAAAAAGAGAGGAAACAACCGTATCTAAGAAGATGCAGGAAATAACTCACCATCGTCCACTCGACAAAACTGTTCACCCTCCTTCCACTCACAATTATGGCCCTATGGTTTAATTTACATTTGGGAATTTATCAAAACTGGGTCAGCCAAACTGTCTGTCAGCGGGCAACATTTATTTTATCAGGATGTTGGGATAGGGGCCAAATCTCCATCCCATACAGTGCAATTTAGGGCCTCTTATGTTATTATGCTCTGCTTTAGCAGGGGGCTGCACTCAGGTCTGAAGTGTGCCTCCCTGTACCCGTGTAATGTGGACGTGGTTTACTGCAAAGTCTGGAAAATAATTGTTATGAAGATTCTTGTTCTATTGTGTCACCTTAATTATAGTGAATTATTTTAATTTCAAGATTAGTGTCAACACTGGATTCTGGGAACGCATAAGGAGACACAGACAGCACTGACGTGTGAAATAACAATATATCATGACCCCTTTACTGTTAGTCAGTATTGGTGGAAGCAACCACATTAGCGCTACACATAGTCAATGTTAATTAAAAAGCATAGATTAGTACAGATAACTGAAATCTATCCGAGCAGCTGAAAGATTTCCTTTGCCATTTATCATGAGTGCATGATGGCTTCCAGCTAGCTTCTCATTTAGAGTCTACCATAAAAAGAGCTGTTTACAACTGTCAATTATGAGCTGAATAAGACATGT